TTTCACTTCCCTTCCGACCTATATAAGAATCCTTGATTAATTGTTTATACCATGGCTACCAACATTCTCTATTCTTTTACTCAGTTGACTTCCTGTGTCTACTTTGTCGATCACCAGTGGGTAAATTCAGCCATTTGATTTCTTTATGTAGCTGGCAGCAATATAACATTTTAACATTTGACTTTATTGGGGAGGGGTCGTTTGGGAATTTTTTTGTTTTTTGTTTTTGGTTTTGCAGCCTTAAATGGGTGTTTAATAGTAGTGCCATCTATTCATTCAATAAACATTTCTTAAGTCCTTACTGGGTACTTAGTGCTGATTACTAAACTAAGTTGAGAATAAAAATGAAATAAGACAAGCAGGCCCTGCCACCAAGTACTTCACAGGCTGGCAAGTGAGACAGATACCACTAATTTCAAGTTTCCCAATTCTGACCCAGTTTTTCAGCAGATGATCTGCTTCCTCGTTCATGGGGAAAATGGAAGCATGAATTTCCTCAAACTTCCCTGTTCTATCCCTACATCTATGTATTCACCAGTTTCTTAGGAGAAAATATTTCTTCAGTGCAAGGCCACTCCTGCCACTTACGCTCATTTTCTTCGATTTCTTTTTGTTCTTTGTTTTGATATTTCTCCCTTTTGTCTTCAGTCTGGTTCTCTTTTGTAAGCTGTAAGTATGTTAAAATCCCTTTCTTCCATTTTGAAAAAATTTCTGCTTCCTCTTCAAGCTGCTGATCTAGTTTCCATTTCCAAAGTGAAAATAGTTGACACTCAATTTTTCTCTTTTACTCATTCCTCAGGCCACTTTGTTCAGCACCCATCATTTACCAAATTGTTTCTTAACATCAGCCACTTGGTTGCCAGCTCCAGTGGTCTTTAAGTCCATAGCCTCAGCTCTCTCTGCAACAATGTGCATCTTAGAGCTTTCTTCCATAGAGTGTGGAACTGATACTCTCCTGGTTCTCCTTTAGCCTTGCTGACTATTCTTTTTAGTCTCCTTCGTAGCCATTTCTTTCTCTGTCCCTTAAATGTTGATTCCCTGTCTTGTGTCCTTTCCATACTTTACTTTTCACCCCCTTAAACAAGTCATGTCTACTCTTTAGTTATTAAATACATGTTAGTGACTCCCAGATATTAAGCCCTAAATTCTCTCTCAACCTGACAGCCTGCTTACTAGATGAGATAACTCAAACTCATCATGTAAAAAGGGGAAATAACCCTTGTGTTCCCCATCTCACTTAACAGTATTACTACTTCTTGAGCATTTATTCTTTTTATTTTTATTATTATTATTTTTTTAATGCCTACAGCACCAGTATTCCTAGGTAGTCTCCCATTCAAGTACTAACCAGGCCCGACCCTGCTTAGCTTCCAAGATCAGACGAGTTCAGGCACATTCAGGGTGGCATGGCCATAGAGTTGAGCATTTATTTTTGATGCCTCAGAATCATCTTTTAATTCTCCCTTTCATCTCCCAACATTTATTTGATTACCAATCCTATTAATATTACCAATACAATGTATCTCAATTTTTTTCCTTTCTTATTTTTATTTCCACTTTCCTAGTGCTCACCTTGGCTACTGCTTAGGTATTGTAACTGATATCCTTGCTTCTAGTCTCATTGAGCTCCAGTTCTTTTACTTCTTTTGAATATGTTTACCTTTGGGACACATACTTTCACAGAAAGAATTTCTCTGTGAAACCCTCTGGGTACCTTTTTTCCCTTCTCTTTTATGCCCTGGACAGAATTAGCTTGTTTGATCTTTCTGCTTATATAGCTGCTTGTTCATACCCGTGGTCTGATACATAATTTTCTGATTGCTTGTTGATTTATCTTCCTGCCTTTCTAGACTGAGTTCCTGGAGGGCAGGAATCACGTATCCTTGTAGACCCAGCACAAGGATAAATAAAATACCTTTTATGACTGGGACCTCTAATTTTTTTGAGTTGAATGAATAAACGATGCACTTTAGCCTTGTGGCTAGTGGGGTCAAAGGTTGATTACTGGGCCACTGCAGATCTAATTGGGATTCAGACGAAGTTCTTTGTGTATGTGGAACCAGGAAGACTTTATTCCTATGAGGAAGTCCTTTCTCAGGACCTTCCTAATCCCTTAGCTCTCAGAGTTTTACCCCTTCCATCGCCATCTCAACTCTAAACTCTGCCCAGAGCAGGTGTACTTTCAGTAAACCTGGCTGGAATGTTTCTATCTTTGAGAGGAGTAATTATCCAAGCCTTTGGGTGAGGAGATTCTGCCTTCCTGCCTGATCCTTACCTTGCTTCCCTCTAGAGGAGATATAGTCCTGAAACACTCCAGATACAAGAAGTTATTTGACCTTTAACTCCCCCATCCACCCACCCATTTATGTGATCTGGAGCTGGTAAGGATGATAGCTATAGCTAAGTACATTCCAGTCATCTCACGAACAGAGTCCTGCAGACTCCCAGAAGCACCTATGGAGGGATGAGCAGCTGTCTATCTGCCTCTAGCCTTCATCCTTCCTCCAGCTTTGGCCTCACAAACTACTGGAGCTTTTACTGTCTTCTTTCATTCAGGCTCCCTAGGAGAAAGGCTCCAGAATCAATCAATACTCAGACTTTCATCCCTGTTCTAAGACCATTCCCAGAAAGAATTTCCAGGCAGCCACCAGAGGGACAGAAGGCTCTGAAAACAGGATGCTAGTCCCCTCTGATTCTAATTTTCATGGGAACCAGCTGTTCACAGGTGCAGAAATGATGATCTATAACTGTAGTTTCTGAGTCCAGTGGTGTTGGAATCCTGTCCCTCTGTTGCAGCACAAACTATAGACCTCTCTATCTCCATGCAGACATTCCCTCTACACACCTTGTGCCCTTCCTTCACATTTTACAGTCCCTGCAGCTTAATAGATATAGGAGGTGTACTATAGATGATCAGAAGAGGCTCTTGCTGCCCCCTCACTAAACACCCGAGTTTCTCCTATGTCTGCTGACCTCTGGTGGTGATAGTTTGAACTGTACTTTCCCTTTCCAGTTAATGGCCTGCTAGCAGGTAATGTGCCTATTTTCTCAACAATCCAAATCAAATATTCAAATACTGTATTTAGTGGAAATTTTTATTGCTGCATTTGTATTTGTTTTCAGGCATCATGGCATAATGCAAAGAACAGAGCTTTGGAGTCAGACTTACCTAAGTTCAAATCACCTTGGGCTAGATACCTAAGCTCAGCTTTCTTACTCATAAGGTGAAGATAATAAATAGTTTAGTGGGAGAATTAGATGAGATGATTGTAAAATGCATAGCCCTAGCTGTGCTGTAGCACATAGGTGCTCAATAAAAGTTTATTACATTCTCAATAATGGTGATTTGTTCAGTGCGTGACTCAAAGTGATTTTTTAAATTTTGGTAACAAAATTTACCATTATACCATTTTTAATATGTTTTTTTCAAACTCTGAGAAATTTTATATAACTACTGTCTAATGTTTGAGTTTGGAAAATGAGGTCAAACGTAGTATGGGCTGTGAAACCTTTCTGCCCGGGGAGCTGTGGATCTGAGCCCTGAAAATAGGGGTTAGAAGGGATCTTGGACATAGCTGACTGGCACTGAGCACTTCACCTCACTGTGGTTTCCTGGCTATAGGATCCAGTACTTTCTTTCAGGGTCAGCAAAGGGCAGAGGTTTGAAGTTAAGCATCACTCGGTTCTCAGCTGGGCCTCCAAGGCCTCCTCCTCCCACTTTGCAGAGAAACGAGGAGGTGGCTGAAGAGAGGAGGATATGAGATTGGTTCTCCACTCCTCCCTCTCTCTCCCTGCTTTTCCCCACAACCATCCTCTCCCCCACAGCAGCCGTCTCCCCCACAGAGACTGGGAAGAGGGAGGGGGGCGGAGTTGGGGACTGAGGGATCAGAAGCCCCACAGTGCCCTGTATCTGAGGGAAGCTCTGGGCAGGGGCAGCTGTGCTGGCTCATGCTCCCCTCCTGTTGCTGCCTCCTTCGAAATGATGCTGGGTACTCTGGGACTTTGGGCACTGCTTCCTGCAGCTGTGCAAGGTAAGTGTCTTTCCATTCACCCATTGAAAGAAAGGGGCACTTGAAGCACCAGCCACCCCTTTAGAAGAGTGGCGAGTGGGGTGGGTGAGTGAGAGTGAAGGGTAGAGGCATGTCCCCTTGGTGGGGGTCCGGTTCCAAAACTCTGCTGACCCTGTTCCCTCCTATGGCTTTACCATGCTGGCCCTGGGATATGAAACATGCTTTGTCTCTCCTTTTGGCTGCTGCTTTTGCCCCTGTATTCACTCCCATCTTGACCCTTCCCCTTTCTCCACCGTGGGCCACAGCACCCCCAAGCAGGCGGACCTGTGTGTTTTTTGAGGCCCCCGGAGTGCGGGGGAGCACACAAACACTGGGGCAGCTGCTAGATGCAGGACCAGGGCCCCCCAGGGCTATCCGCTGCCTCTACAGCCGCTGCTGCTTTGGGATCTGGAACCTGACCCAAGACCTGGCACAGGTGGAGATGCAAGGTGAATGGAAAAGTATATGGCAGGTGACAGGGTGGGAGACAGGCACATCCTGGGGTGGGGGTGGCAACTGAGGGAGAGGAGGAGAAGTGGAATGTG